GATTCAGCTGAGAGCTACCACAATCGAACGAGACAAATGGATCTATAGCTAAGCCAGTAACGACTGGCTATAGGCTAGACAACCAAGTTTAGGGCTATATAACATTTAGGCTTAATATGAAGACCAGATTGCCCACCTTACGTATGTCAATGATAAAGATTTCTCTCTTCTGGGCGTCATCAGGGCGATTAATCGCCCTGATGTCGGAGGCAGTATGACCTCTGAAACGTTGGTTAACATCGACCAGACTACACAGCGCAACAACCCAGAAGACAGAAATCTTCATACTCATCGCCCTGATGACGGAGGCAGTATGACCTCTGAAACGTTGGTTAACATCGACCAGACTACACAGCGCAACAACCCAGAAGACAGAAATCTTCATACTCATCGCCCTGATGACGGAGGCAGTATGACCTCTGAAACGTTGGTTAACATCGACCAGACTACACAGCGCAACAACCCAGAAGACAGAAATCTTCATACTCATCGCCCTGATGACGGAGGCAGTATGACCTCTGAAACGTTGGTTAACATCGACCAGACTACACAGCGCAACAACCCAGAAGACAGAAATCTTCATACTCATCGTCCTGTCTCAATCAATACCTGATGACCCATAAGATATCCAACTTCATGTAATGACTTATTTTTTCAATGACATATAAGTAGAACAGATACAAAATGAATCTCCAATCATAAATGGATATAGGAATAGACAATATTTCTTGATGGACTCACAAGTGGCTAAGCTTATTAATTCTCTGTTCAACAACTTCGAATTCAGTTTCAACTACTACAACGGAACCTATCTAGCATCGTCGAGTTGTCGATAGTCGTGATCAGAGAGAAGAGGTTATTACAAATGTGTGCGTAGCTCATCATTATGAAACTTCCCATAACTATGGACATCGGGTCTCTTAAAGTCGAGTAAGCTAATAACCTAAGCTATTGTGCATGATTCTCCTTGAGATGTTAGTAGTTACCCAGCCGATGAAGGGAATCCCTTCACTTTTGAAACCCCAAGGCTCAATTTCATGTTCACTAAAGCACGCCATTAGATCTTATAATGATCCAGTTGAATTCAGGCCATACGCAAAGACATTTTTTCTAAGTTCAATTCTAATATTGTGATCCCACACACACTTAGTTTTCCCAAATGGTTTGTTACCATCATGGTTTATGGCCGCATGTATTTCAGGTTGAGAGTATAATCAGGAATTTAAACAGAACTATTTATGCACTTTGTACAGCGTCAATGTTATGTGTGAAATTAAGTTTATGGTGATATAAATTTACTGATTACATAAGATACGAGTACAAATTTTTTACCAGAAAACCACAATAAATATATTTCTGGAGCATAGTAAATGACAACAGGGTAGTATTAAAACGTATTTTACCTAAGGGGATGAAACCAATGGGGTGGATTAAGTCTAAAATAAATTAATGTGAAGGCAAAAACAGTGAGCAAAAATCTTAACGAATCATTTAGAAATCATGTGTTTTTCAAAGTGGATTACGATATTGTCTCTGTAGTGCTGGCTTTTGTATTAGAGACCTTGTATCGGGCATGAACCCCCCGCCCCAAATCAGGGTCTTAGCTCTTGTTAAAAATCCAAAGTTTCAGGAGTTAATTCCAAAGATTTAATTTGTGAAATCTAAAATGGAGTACACTTTCCCACCTTTGCGTTAATTTACTAAGCTCTGATTCCACTACGGCAAGAAGGTAATGAAGTTTGCAGTATCAGAAAACATTGACACCTAGAACCTTATTTTACGCGCTAGAGCTACTGCTGCATAGATTGATGGTGAGTGAGACCGGAGAAGATTTACAAGCCTACAATCTAACTTCTGCCAGGATAACTTAATGAAACAATCTTGACATGACAAGCAAAGACACGGGTAGAGACGTTTGTTACTTGTCACGTGGGTATCGACTGTCCCGTTTAAGTGTGACCCATATACGGACCACAAAAATCTTCTCGGGTGACCATCAACGTTAATTCGGACAGAAGTCCGCGGTAATTTAGTATGATAGAGCCAGAGGTCTCCGAAACCTTTACCTCGTGTCAGATCACCAGGGTAAGGCGTCGAACAGGAGGCACGGAGGTGTAAACCTAAATGCATTCTCTTGACACTGGACAGAGGTGTCAGTTTTACGCTCCAGCCACTTTACCCCGACGAAACCTTCCGGTCTCAGAGCTAATACGGGCAGTCGGATAATCGAAATAAGCCCCAGTCGCCAGCTACTTCACTGAATGCCATTGACATAGATGATGATGCTGATAATTATTATGGTTGTTTCTGTACCTCGAAAAATTATCATTTAACCCAGTGAATCTGGCAGAGATAACTCTAAGTACCAGAATCTAACAATCTCTGTTTTTCACTAAATTCCAAGCCCTTTATAGAAATGTAAGGATGAGATTGGATGGGCGTGTAGCACGTATGGGAGCTATTCAAACAAAATCTTAATTTAAACCCCTAGAGTGACACACTAGTTGGGATATCTATGTATAGATGCCAACGGAGGAAATTGTCTTGAATCGGTCCGTGACCTAATGAATCACGTCTTGGGCTGGTTTCAAAAGGAAGAAACAAAATACGTATCGATGCGCATTATAAGCTATTCTTTCCCCTCAAACAATAATTTGTTCAGAGATCTGGTATATTTTCGACATACGTAACAGGAAAGTAAGACCATCACTTATAACACCAGAGACACGTTTTCTCACCGCTACCTTCGATGATAACAACATGGCTGCCGTATGAACATTTGAATTCTCACTCTTTGCACGAATCCCGAACGACACTAGGTTTTACATACACAAGATGCTAGTAACGTGCGCCTGATACAAAAAACATACACAATTAGCGATAGAGAGTGAATAAAGACACAAAGAGAAAGAAAGAAAGAATAGAAGAAAGGCACGGGATGGTAGTTCATTAGGCAAGGCAACCCACTTCATTCATTGTGAAGCCACAAGCTCAGATCTTAACAATGTCGATATAACAACGCCATATGCACTGAATAAGTTACGCCCCTCTGCTCAATACGAGTGACGTCACATGAGGCGAGTGAACAGTGGGGGTAACCACCCCGTGGTGCTTGTGGGGTATATAACAAGAGCGTCCCGACGCTGGCGGGCCGAATCGCACCGTGACCGCGTCGTCGACAGCTGCTTTGTCTCATTCCTCATCATCTTCAGCGTCGTCACATCTGATTCGTCCCGCGTCATTCAAGCGACCGACCAGGTAAGACTCGACCCGACATGTTCGTGCTCCGTCACCTGTCCTTTCAGTTGCAATTAAGTATCGTATTGTTATTTTAGGTTGACGAAGAGAATATTTGATTGGTCCCTGAGAAAGACATATATCGGTTCGCCTCTTGGTCAGTGTAAATGTTTCCGAGTTTCAGAACAGATAACATAAATTTTTATTTATCCGAAAACATGTTTTCCTTTCAGATAAAGCACAAATGAATAACGCAACTGCATCCGGTGAAATAACATAAACGGAACTTTTAATCACACACTCACTGTCATCGGTAATGACAAAAGCAAATTAATGTAATACCTTAACAAGCAAATATCAAGTAATGAACTATTTATCTCTCTGTCGATAAAATATGATTTTTCATAACGACTTGCTGAAGCAAGCTAAATTTTTTTAGTAAAACAATTCCTTGTCTTATCTAAAGCGCGGTTCTTTCTCAAAATATTGACGCTTCTGTAGGACGCGTCAGAATTGTGTTGCATTCAAGATTAACAGGTCTAACGACAGAGAACAGTAAAATAAAATATTTGAGGTTTTCACAGCGGTGGGTATGAAGCTTTCTGTCATCTGGGTTGTTGCGCCGTGTATATTGTAAATATTCATATTCATCGCCCTGATGATGGAGGCAGTATGACCTCTGAAACGTTGATAACCATCGACCAGACTACACATCGCAACAACCCAGAAGACAGAAATCTTCAGTAAAAGAAAACATTGACCATCATTTATAATTCTCATTATTCCATATAAAAATAATTTTCAAATCATTGTTAATGTAATTAGTCAGCGTATTAGTCAAGATTATTTTATAAAATAATTATTAACTTTTATAGCCACGCTTCTGAGCGTTTCATCTGTTCACTTTTCAACTGACTTAATTTCTGAGTACTGATTAACGTTGTACAAACATACATCGGAGTGTCGTAAGTCCCGTTCCGTTGTCGAGATTTTTAAAATCCCTCTGTCTCTCCCTACTCATTTTATGACGTCCTTATTCTCCCCAGATGAAAAAACGAAGTTTTTTCAATGATCTTGGTTATATACATAATGGAATGGAAGGCTAAAAGGCTCACGATGAATTGATTCTTGCGTTATATAATGGCGTAGTCACAGTTGAATGGTATAATGAAATGGGAAGAAACCTATGAAGACGTCGGTGCGTGAGGAGTTAAATGAAGGAGGCATGCTCTATTTGAGGCACCGTCACAGAATCCGCCTGGACAGACTACGAACAAAAACGAAAAATAGGTAATCCGATACCTTCTGAACACTATTATAGAGCATCGCCTCTTTAGAACGTTCCTTCAGTAATGAACTGAGAAGGGCGTATGGACCGGTAGACACCGACGTTTCGGAGGAACGTTGATATCTACCTGCAAATCCACGCGGAACATCCGTATCTTTATGGCTGAGAGAACTCCAAACTCGCATAATCGTTAACTTTACGCGATAGAGAGTGAATAAAGACACAAAGAGAAAGAAAGAAAGAATAGAAGAAAGGCACGGGATGGTAGTTCATTAGGCAAGGCAACCCACTTCATTCATTGTGAAGCCACAAGCTCAGATCTTAACAATGTCGATATAACAACGCCATATGCACTGAATAAGTTACGCCCCTCTGCTCAATACGAGTGACGTCACATGAGGCGAGTGAACAGTGGGGGTAACCACCCCGTGGTGCTTGTGGGGTATATAACAAGAGCGTCCCGACGCTGGCGGGCCGAATCGCACCGTGACCGCGTCGTCGACAGCTGCTTTGTCTCATTCCTCATCATCTTCAGCGTCGTCACATCTGATTCGTCCCGCGTCATTCAAGCGACCGACCAGGTAAGACTCGACCCGACATGTTCGTGCTCCGTCACCTGTCCTTTCAGTTGCAATTAAGTATCGTATTGTTATTTTAGGTTGACGAAGAGAATATTTGATTGGTCCCTGAGAAAGACATATATCGGTTCGCCTCTTGGTCAGTGTAAATGTTTCCGAGTTTCAGAACAGATAACATAAATTTTTATTTATCCGAAAACATGTTTTCCTTTCAGATAAAGCACAAATGAATAACGCAACTGCATCCGGTGAAATAACATAAACGGAACTTTTAATCACACACTCACTGTCATCGGTAATGACAAAAGCAAATTAATGTAATACCTTAACAAGCAAATATCAAGTAATGAACTATTTATCTCTCTGTCGATAAAATATGATTTTTCATAACGACTTGCTGAAGCAAGCTAAATTTTTTTAGTAAAACAATTCCTTGTCTTATCTAAAGCGCGGTTCTTTCTCAAAATATTGACGCTTCTGTAGGACGCGTCAGAATTGTGTTGCATTCAAGATTAACAGGTCTAACGACAGAGAACAGTAAAATAAAATATTTGAGGTTTTCACAGCGGTGGGTATGAAGCTTTCTGTCATCTGGGTTGTTGCGCCGTGTATATTGTAAATATTCATATTCATCGCCCTGATGATGGAGGCAGTATGACCTCTGAAACGTTGATAACCATCGACCAGACTACACATCGCAACAACCCAGAAGACAGAAATCTTCAGTAAAAGAAAACATTGACCATCATTTATAATTCTCATTATTCCATATAAAAATAATTTTCAAATCATTGTTAATGTAATTAGTCAGCGTATTAGTCAAGATTATTTTATAAAATAATTATTAACTTTTATAGCCACGCTTCTGAGCGTTTCATCTGTTCACTTTTCAACTGACTTAATTTCTGAGTACTGATTAACGTTGTACAAACATACATCGGAGTGTCGTAAGTCCCGTTCCGTTGTCGAGATTTTTAAAATCCCTCTGTCTCTCCCTACTCATTTTATGACGTCCTTATTCTCCCCAGATGAAAAAACGAAGTTTTTTCAATGATCTTGGTTATATACATAATGGAATGGAAGGCTAAAAGGCTCACGATGAATTGATTCTTGCGTTATATAATGGCGTAGTCACAGTTGAATGGTATAATGAAATGGGAAGAAACCTATGAAGACGTCGGTGCGTGAGGAGTTAAATGAAGGAGGCATGCTCTATTTGAGGCACCGTCACAGAATCCGCCTGGACAGACTACGAACAAAAACGAAAAATAGGTAATCCGATACCTTCTGAACACTATTATAGAGCATCGCCTCTTTAGAACGTTCCTTCAGTAATGAACTGAGAAGGGCGTATGGACCGGTAGACACCGACGTTTCGGAGGAACGTTGATATCTACCTGCAAATCCACGCGGAACATCCGTATCTTTATGGCTGAGAGAACTCCAAACTCGCATAATCGTTAACTTTACTTTTATTTTGGTATATATATATATATATAAATTATATTCAATCAGTGTCAGTAAGTCATAGCTAAACAGCAGATTTTAAGCTATAATTTTTTTCTTGGCAGCTTCTGTGGCCCACTGCCACATCTAAACAACCCCACCCGACCTCTGAATAAAATCAATCCACCTCGTCTTGGCCCAGGCCTTGTACCTCCATATACTTACAGTTTAAAATTTATAGCACGCGCATTTCACATACGGAGCAATCGAAAGGTCGCTCAAACTCATAATAAAATATTTATTGATAGTTGAAATTCATTACAATTACATTACATTACATTAATAAATGTTGCTGTGACTAAGCAAGATCCCACGTCATGGTTGTAACCTGCTCGCGCCAGTCCGTCCGCTAACTTCAACAGTCGATGCGCAAGTATTTCTTAATGAAAAGAGAAACGAGTATTCATTGTCGAATATTGCCTGGTACCACTTTCTTAATTAACTTGCCGCAATGAGTTTAGGTACATATTTCTCTTTCCACCTTTACTGAACATATCGAAAATATATCGTTCGATTAATCGCTTCTCTCACTTCAGGAGCTCCTCACCAGGTTGCATCAGACAAGGAGAGAAGAGTGGATAAATGCATCGCTAAAAGCGGTGGACATTTCCATCGTTTCGTATAATATGTTCTTTTAATTTAATTTAATTTTTGACAAACAGAACACATGTCAGGAAATGGTTGCATAACTTTTCGATAATTATGTACATTCCAGAGTTTTTAATCTGACTGTTCATTACGCCAATAACCATCTTTTTAAGCTCGTGTCCCTTCACACTCTGTACTCTTTGAATAATAACTGTATTCAAATAACAACAGACTTTATTGTATTTATGCCTGTCGATTTGAATTACGGTAGGCTGACATAAGTGCAACATAATCTGTTGTTATTTGAATAAAATTATCGTCAATTAAGTGTTTTTGTGTAACAATTCTATCATTCCATAATCTATTTATTCACAAAAGCGAATTTATATATTATTTTAATTGATGTAGTAGAAATACTACACCACACAAATGTGGCAGTCGCCTTTTACCTCATAATTCAATACCTAGCCCTACAAATGGAATCATATCACACTCTCCCGCCTGTTCGTAGCCTTACTACAGTCACTTTTTATACGGAAAAACTGTTTCTTACTTATAATATCACTTATATTAAAACCCCAACATTATTTTCATTGACATTCCTCTCCTCTGATCGACTGAGAAGACGAGACACTTAAGCAGAAATTCGGAATCCTGCGGGAAATGATATAGGGGAGAGGAGAGGGAGGTATTAAAATGGCTCTTTTAGGGTAATGGTTGCTAGGATGAGCACTAAATTTAATTGGCTCAAGATCGTATAAATGACTGGCTTGGGTACTGAAAGTGTTTGGAACTTTCTATTCTACGACCAGAACGTTAGTTAACCCTTTTAAGGTCACTGACAACTATACCACATCCCTTTACATTCAATAACTCTGTATTTACATTTATAGTCTTGATATGATTTTCCGAACAAACAACATATACTTTAATATTATCTTCCCATCTAAGATTAGATCTCTCTCTTGGCCTCATCCCTTGAGGTTAAAAATTAAACATTTTATACGCATTTATTATTATCCACAGGCTTGCTACATTTTCAGCACGTTTTTATCAAACGATTTCATCACTCAAAGAATATTAAGAGATTTGTTGGCGTAGAAATATGAAACTACGTCATGGCGTTTCCTCCAGTCTCCTCTACTTCTGCCCCACTGGGTCCAAATACACTAATCGACACCACATTTTTCAACATCCTCTCTGCCTGTTCTTTCCTTGTGCTGAGAGACCAAGTTTCACACCCATATGGACCAACGTGACGTTTAGAACTAGGTCAGCACTAGACCAAAAAAATCACGTCGCTGAATTCAGAAAGAATGAGCAACACGTAGGCAACACGTTCTGCTGGGTAGAGGAAAGGGTACATAGCTTCTTAGAGTCCCAGAACAAAGTAGCAATTTTATTGTTTATAAATGGGACTCACGATGCAGGAGACTTATTTGATGTGTGTGTTAAACTACAAGATTTGTTAAGTAGCCATACACGAGAAAATATTGTAGGACTACAGTTTCTACGCCAGGGACTAATAATGGCAATTAGCTCTGTTGTTGAGCCTCCAATTTGACTTTAAATCAAATTTACTTCATGCACCAACAAAAGACAAATAAATGGCGCAAATATTTGCATGGAGCTAAAAATGACTTGAATTGTTAAGAAAATCCACATGTTTTATGGAACCTGATCGTTCACTGCAATGATCAGTGGACGCCGTGCCAGATCACTAGTTTTCTTTCATAAAGACAAAGAAACAAGTTTCAAATCCATACAAAGAAAGAAGTAAATTTATGTTTTTCATATTTTAACTAGCACTCATTCCAGGAAAAATTGATAGGATTGAATCTTTTTGTTTCAAATATTACTATTATATTATATTGCAGAATTTTTCTTGAAAATCGAACTGAAGGTGAGAAAATGTATAAAAATGTCTTCATAAATCGAATTAGATGTGAAAAAATATTCACGGTGACCGAAGCCTCATTCCTGCCAACCTAACCAACATAAAACCAGCCGCCTGACTCCAGACTCCACCAGATTTCACCACAGACGCCAGCACAGCCTCGTTAGCATTTCTTGCTACCAGAGTCTCCACCGTCATGATTTATAGTTTTCCGCGACGCTCGAAGAGCGCACTCGTACTGTCAAGGGTGACCCACAATGGCTATTATATTAGGAATAGACTTTATGACATGTCAAGTTCCAAAACTCAGGGTCCTTCTTCAGTTGTTTAGATCTTGCCAAATTATCCATCTAATGTCTAGTCCCACGTAACATTTAGCAACATGAACGTTTCTACTGCGAGGGGCTGTCTGCTCGAGCCCAAAATCCCCGATCTACAGAACCTTTCCTCATCGGCTGTCTTCGACTGCTCATTCGATATATTCGTCGTCACCCACCGTATCCGGAAACCGCCTCATCTATCAGCAACTTGAGGCGCCGTCATGCCTCGGTGGCGAGGGATCCACTTAACGTGGGCCGAGATATGTAAGCGAAATACAAACCTCAGTCTCAGATTTTTAAGAAATATCCTTAGATGTTTCAAACGCGTTTCTTCTGAGTCTTCATTCCTCATTCGTCTTTATATTCTATGGTTACATTTAAGAAACGTACTATCAAAAAAAAACCGATGAACACTCAAGAAACCACGTCGAACAGAATTACGAACAGTCCTGTTCAAGACACTAATAAACAGCGAGAATATTTACGGATTTCACGGAGCGATTGTAAGAATCGATCAGTGAAATTCTTAACTATTCACCATTCGATAGAAAAGATTGACTTTAAAGTTCAAAGTGTGTTTGTGACGTACCAATGTTAATGAAACTGTTTATAAACTCTGATAACTGCATTATGTAATAAAGGCATTATAATGGACAGATAAAGAACAAAATAAAAGTTTCCTTGTCACCCTC